AACAACTTGTTTTCATTGAAAGACACAATCGTTGTTCACACGAACCCGTGACGATGTCATACGGTATGACATTGAAAAACATCACACCATATAAACATAGTGTTTACATTGTAAGACACAGATACTGTTCATACGAACATAGGGCCCAGCATGTGAACATATGAACATAGTGTTTACATTGCAAGACACAGATGTTGTTCACACGAGCATAGGGCCGACATGTGAACATGAGTTGTGAATATGTTCATAATCGATCGTAGGTTACAAATCGGCTGGAGAATATCGGGTTCACGATGCGTTAGGATTTATTACCAAAATACTCTGTGAACAATTGTTCATAAGCAGCCCAATTAATTTAATGATTAATTGATTATTTTTTAATACTCATTTAATAATGACTGTTTGACTAATTTACCCTTTGAACAAATGTTCATACACATATCAATTAATACATTAATTAAATTATTGTTTATTTAATCTCATTTAATAATAACCGTTTGATGATAAAATGAACGATCAAGATCGGTTTACATAGTTTGTACCATATGGTTGGTTTCTATTTGAACCAGCCCCTATATATATATATATATATATATATCATCTGTTTGATTGTTATGTCTCCTGTCATTCTTGCTTTTCGATAAAATAATTACATTTTTGAAGATATACCCTTACTAACCCTTCAAAGATAATACATTTTAACAAATTCAAATCCAAGAACACTGCAAAACAACATTTGATTCACGACCATAAGAATACAAGTGAAAAGTGTGCTGCAGTTATATATATATACAAAAATACATCACAATCAATATTCTCTTTTCAGTTGATGATTCATTTCTATTGAATACGCAACTTTATATGAACTTACTTTTAACACATCATATGAAAAACATTCCAACCTATCCCTCGAACACAATGGTTCTAGCTAGATGCATACATAAAGCGATGTTTCGCTTAAAGGATGATTCTACCAAAAACACGAAAATATCGACATCAATTTTTGTGGTAAATAATGATCTTTAATAAACTTTTGAAAATATGGTTGATAGGTTGCATAGATGTCTTGATTATAAGATAGCGAAAAGTAGCATTACTAGACGATCTAAATTGGGAATATTTGTGGCTAACTTGATGTTACAATCCATCAACATTCATCCATACTTACAAAGTTTTGGTTTCCCATAATCAGAATCACCAAAAAAGTTAGTGATACTTTATTTGTAATGAATAATGAGTGATGTCCTAACTTTTTAACATTCATATGGAACTGTAAATATTTTAAAAACCTAAAATCAGTTATTTTATAAGTTTTTGTAAGTGTTATTCATTATTATTATTATCATGAATTTGTTATTCATTATAAATATTTATCATGAATAATTTTTCAAATAGTTAAATATTATAAAATATTTGACAAAAACTGTTAAAAACCATTTTTATGTATTAATTATTGTTTATTGATGTATATTAGTTAAAATTCAAAATTACAAGTAAATTATCCGTATGTACAACTTATTAAAGCTTTATGTTTGGATTTGTGTAACTAACTACAGATAAACATAATCAAATTCTGGATAATTATCTCATTTTAAATATAAAAAATCTAAAATATATTTAGAATAAACATTGAATTCAAAATACTAAATATTATCTTTATAAAAGAATTACATTATTAAATAAAAATGAATGACTTCATTATTAAATCTAAATTTAATTATAATAAAAAATAGAATTAAAGAAATTATACAAAAAACAAGAATTTTTAAATATTTAATTTGATAACAAAATCGATATATGTTTTTTTTAAATTTTATGATATCTTCAAATTTATATTTTACTCAAAAAATAAAAGTAATATCCTTTTTTTGGTACCACATAAAATCGTATTATAACATCGACGGAGACAAAATAAAATGAAACATTAAAATCGATATTTATCTCGCTACATTGCGGGAGTATCTTTCTAGTTTCTCAAAATAATTACGATTTCTTTAAACATCCCAAATATGTATCTCTCTCTCTCTCTCACACACACACACATACACACACACACACACACACACATATATATATATATGCATGTATGTATTTATATATATGTATATGGGTTTAATTAAATGAGGACCCTATATATTGTGATAATCGTGAAAACTTTTACCTTAAGTTATTGTTCTACATTATCTTTTTCCATCTAAGACTACTATATAAGACATTGATTTAAATACATTTATTTCACAATATATTTACTTCATATGTATTTTATTCACAATATGATTTTTTTAACAGGTACTTTTTATTTCATAAACACGTCAAAAAGTTCTCAAAATAAGACTCATGTATGTGTGTGTATATGTGTGTGTGTATATATATATATATATATATATATATATAAACACGTAGATACATATACACACACTATACATGACATTACAAAAAGAATCATTATCACTAACAGACAATTTCGTCAGTAATCCGTTTGTATAACCCTTTACGAATCAACGACTTCAATTCAGATGGACAAAGTCCGTCGATAATGACTAATGAATTGGTTGGAAAATTATACTGACAACAATTATCGATGGAGTTTACAACTTGATCAATACTGCATTGAGAAGTAATTTTACAACTTATTAAAAAAAAACTAAAGATGTAAACCTTTTTTTTGTTAGTTTTTATTTAAAAAAATAAAAATATCAAAAATACGTCAGAAAAACCTTAATTATTAGTGCTAATTATGTATGGTTAACATCAACCATATCTAACAAGTATTTGGTTTTTATTTTTAAATGATTATTATTGTTATTATTATTATTATTACAATAAAATTGAATTTATAGAACGTCAAAATTGTATAAATATCTTAATAGATTGTTTTATAAGACATTAATTTATAGAACCAAACATTAAAGTGTTCTATTTAAAAACCTCTAATGTGGAATAAAATTCTAGTTCAGTCACGAGTTCTTATTATAACCTAAGTGCTTGAACAAAAACCTGGATTCTTGTATATATTTTTTTTATTATTTTTATTACTTTTTACCATTTTATTTTTTTAATAAATAACATATAAGTTAAAATTGATATAAAAATATAAAATAATATTGATAAAATAATTTTTTATTTTTCATTTTTTGTAAATTTTTATACAAGTTTTAATATTAATAAGTTTGAATTTGAATTATCTCAGTATATTATTATGTTTAGATTATTTTTCATATATTTCTCTCTCTCTCTCTCTCTTTATATATATATATATATATATATTGTAAATTGATAATTGTAAAATATTTTTTTTTAATTTTTAATGGATATTATGCATACAAACATAATTTTGCATAATATAATTGTTGAAGATGAAGGTGACATGTTGATCAATTAGATCGATAAATAGTAGATAATTCAACACAATGTTTTTATAAATTAAAAAAATAAAAAAGAGGTTTTTTTAAATACCTCAATTATGGAGTTTTATGATATTTTTATTTTGTTAAGGTGACAATAATGTGACAGATGCTCTAAATTAATTTTCTGAAATACTACTTCTAGTAGAATTTCTATAAGCTCAATGCTTTTTTTTTCAATTACAGTTTTTCAATTAATTCTTTAAAACTATATCTTTTGATAATTCTATATTGTAAACTAGCTAGTTTATCGGTTAAGTTTATTAAAAACAACCAGGTTTATCAATTAATTTACTAATCAGCAGTTAGCTTTTTAGTTTTCAGCTTATTAACCAACAATTAATTTAATAAAACAAAAGAAGCTATTTCATTACCTTGTTTTATAATTATTTTATAAACACACTTATTTCCTCTCTAAAAAAAACACTTGGGTAGCATTTGGTTCAAAATATGTTTTTGGATGTAATGAAATATGTTAAAAGAATTTGATTTTGAAGGAATTGGAATGAAATGTTGTCAGGTTTGATCACCTGTTTGGTTGGTAGACAATGAAATGAAATCTGTTAAAGCATTGGAATTTATCTGTTTGGTTCATAGAATGTAGCATTGGAGTTGGAATGAAATATTGGTAAATGACCAAAATGCGTTTTTTTGAAAATTTTAATTTTTTTTAAAACTAAAAATACTTTACTAGAATAATTATTTAATTTGTAAGACAATATAAAATACACATCCCAAATATAACCATAAGCCAAATGATGTTACTAAATCAACAGTGGTCGGCGGTGATTCAGGTCGACGGTAGTCATATTGGGTTTTATGAGATTAAGATATATTGGGTTAAAGACATATTTGATATAATGGTATTATGAAAATTCATTAAAATACTATGTAGTTGCTAAGAAATGTTAAATTTCTTTATTTATGAAATTTGTAGGATTTTAAATATTTCTTTCGTGAAAAAGAATGAACCAAACAAGTGAACGAAATTTTAAAATTCAATATTTCAATTTCATTATATTCCTTTAGAATCTGATAACCAAACGTCTTCTTTGAGATTTTCTGGTTTTGATAAGTAAATGAAGATGTAAATAAATTCATATTTCTTTCAATTTAACCTAAATAAAAATTCAGGCTTGTGAAAAAACCGACCTATTATATTCGTTAAATTTTTCCTAATTTCTAATCATATTAATTATTGATTAATACCTCTAACCAAATAGCTTCTTATTAAATAAATATGATCGAATAAAAAGTGTAAATAGGGGGAAGGGGAAGGGGAAGGTGCCAACTTTGTGTATAAATACCCCATTTGATTTGAACCATCTATCCTCCTTCTTCACTACCTCGTAACTCCCCATAACCTCATTCATCACCCCACAATCCCCAACCCACTTTTCAATATACCTTTTTGAATTCAACACTTATCTCTACATATATATATAATTGCAAACTTAACGCCATTGGAATTATACATATATATATATATATATGGCATTAATTTGCAGAGATTTTATTAGGGTTTTGCCACTATTGTTGGTATCATGTTACTTGTTCAACACCAGCAGCTTCAATGGTGGTGGTGGAGGTGGAGCCATGGCCTTCCATAAGGTTTCTCCAAGTTCGCACTCTGTTACTATTCCTCATGTGAAAGTCAACCACATACATAGAACTTCCTACCATTTCCAACCCAAACAAAACTGGATCAATGGTATTACCTCCTCTTCTTCTTCTTCTTCTTCTCCACACAGCACATACATATATATATATATATATATATATATATACACACATGCTTGTATGGATTAACAATCCAATTATAGAGGAAACACAGGGTGCACTCAAATTATATTACACGCAAGAATCGTTCATTAGTTATAATTACAGCGTTTGTGTGTGTATATATCCTTTTCGTGTCAATTAAAGTGCTATGGAAGAAAATGATTGCACACAAGTTTTCGTGTCAATTTCACGGGATGTTATCAATCATCCTTGCTAAACTCAAACACATGCCTCTAACACGTAACACGGTTAGTTGTTTCGAGATGGTATACTTACTTATACAAACAGAAGATGATGGTTCAAGTTTGACAATCGTAATATGTAAGTTATAATTTCTTCAACTATATATTAAACTCCTTATAAACAGTAGACATTTAAGTCACACACCAAACATATTCTTGTATATCTGATTTGTCTCTCACATGATTCGTTTGAAAAACACTGTAATCTAACTGAGAAGGTTGCTGGTTACCAACCTTTTGTTACACCAAATTCAAATACAAAAAACAATAAGTTTTTTGGAAAATAAAAATAAAAATAAAAAGAAAAAGAAAAAGAAATCCTAAAAAATGAGCAATGCATTTGCATGCTAATTTGGGATGTGGCCAATTAGGTTCCATGCAGACTGCAGCCATCTGTGTATATTTGGGTCCATCCATCCTTAAATACATCTATGTACATATAATGTCATAATCCATTTTGTACCCAATTTTGGGGTCCACCATTATTCCTTGACGAAATTACTATATAGTCCCTTGATTTTAGCATACGTGGAATTTTTAGTCCATTGCTTTTATATTTTGTGTTTTCAGTCCCTATAAATTGACTTATTGAATTTATATAGTGCATGAGTTCTATTTGAATATCCTAGGAGGTACTCGTACAATACAGCAAGATACATCTTGATTTTAATGTTTCATTTATCTTTTTTGTCTCGGTCGATGTTATAAAAAATTGAAAAAAAAATATTGATATTACTACCAACATGATTTTTTTTTTTTTGTGTATTTCTTTAATTCATTTTTTTGTTTTAATAATGTAATTTTTTTATAGAGATAATAATTAAGTATTTTGCTAGAACTCAATAATTATTTTAATTATATTTTAAATATTTTATATTTAAAATGAATGTTTATTCTCTATTTGATTATGTTTATCTATAGTTAGTTACACGAATTCAAACATTAAGCTTTAATAAGTTGTACTTACGCAAAATTTACTTGTAATCTTGATCCTTAAGTAATATGCATCAATAAACAGTACTTCTAGCATAAAAATGATTTTTAAGAGTTTTTGTCAAATGATTTATAATATAGTATAGATTTTATGTGATTGACATATAAAAAAAAAATGATCTACTTAAGACATGGCTGAAAGAAATAAGTCTAGACCGGTCCGATTATAGCAAAGTAAAAATAGAATTCGGATCTATGCAAGGTGCAAGACCAGTTTGTGGAAAAAAGTTCGACTAATCACTGGGGATTTTGGTCTTGTCTACAAACAGAACAAATAAAATTAAAGAATCTAAAAAGAAAATAAATTGGCTGTGATTTTTGACTATCGTCTATATAAAAACAATATTTATGTCTGAATCAGAAAAACATCAGAAAAGCTTCCTTGATCAATTGGGTAAATCAAGAAAACAGTAGTCTCGGCTGCAACAGAAGCTAAATATGCAACAACAATCCAAGGTCGCATACCTAGATCAAGACTAATTAAGTTCCCACTCATGACCCATGTAACAAGCTTCGCATCCCTCTCTCTTTTTGTTTTTCGCCCCCATGTCGCTACAAAGAGGGCGAAAAAAGACTAGTGGTATGGTCTAGTTCAAACTGATCACGTCAAGGACCGATCTTTAATTACTTGGTCCTGAGTCCAAAGGCCCGTCGCGAGTTACTTTGATTGTATCCTTTAAGAAAAATAGAGTCTGTTTGATATAAAAAATATTTGATATTTTGAAAGTGTTACAATAATTTTATAGAATATTTTAATAAAAGCTTTTAATTTAAAATATTTATTTGTTTTTATATATAATGAACTGATACATTTCCTTTTTGATGTCTTTCCATCATGTGCGGCTCAAATATGATGATCGCTCGTAGACCCAAACGGTGAGTTTGATCGAACACTTTTTGAGAAGTTTCTCCATTGTTTTACAGGACACTTGTGTTTATAAAACATTTTTTTTTAAAATAGTGTTATGTAAAATAGTTGGTACGACACTTTTATTTAAAAAAAAACTTTCTAAAAACTTGTTAAAACGTCTTATAAACCTATTGCAACATTTTTACATAAGACGTTTATGATTTGATTCTATAAAAACTTAAATCCTATAAAGTATTTTATTATGATGCTTAGACATTTTAGACGTCCTATAAATCCAATTTTGTAGGAGTGTGAACTATGAACGTAAATAACAACTGATTTATAAAATTTTGCGTTATGTAACAGCACCAATGTATTACAAGGGATTTTATCATTTCTTCTGTCAATACAATCCCAAAGGTGCGATTTGGGGAAACATTGTGTGGGCCCACTCCGTATCAAGAGACATGATCAACTGGATGTCGTTAAAACCAGCAATTGTACCATCAAGATGGTTTGATAAATACGGGTGTTGGTCTGGATCTGCCACGATCCTACCCGGAGATAGACCCGTAATTTTGTATACCGGAGTCATAAATGAAAAGCCCGATCCGGGTTACCAAGTCCAAAATTACGCGATACCCGCCAATTATTCGGATCCGTACCTCGAGAAGTGGATTAAACCGAACGACAACCCTATCCTCAAACCGACTAAAGAAATCAATGTATCATCGTTTCGTGACCCTTCAACGGCTTGGTTCAATAACGGTTATTGGAAAATGTTGATTGGTAGTCGACACTACGATCGAGGGATTGCTTACTTGTATCGAAGCCGGGATTTTGTTAAGTGGACACGTGTCGAACACCCGTTTCATGATAAACCGGGTACAGGTATGTGGGAATGCCCCGATTTTTACCCGGTATCGTCTCCCGGTCGTAAAAACGGGTTGGACACTTCGATGTTGCACGAAGATGCTAAATATGTTTTCAAGGTAAGCCTTGACGAGACTAGAAATGAATACTACACAATCGGAGAGTATGACATGGCGAACGACCGATATCTCCCCTATAATACATCAATTGACGGTTGGGCTGGGTTACCATATGATTACGGAAACTTCTACGCGTCGAAAACGTTCTTTGATCCCGTCAAGAAACGAAGGATTTTGTGGGGTTGGGCTAATGAGTCGAGCACAGAAGATGAAGACATTGCCAAAGGATGGGCAGGAATTCAGGTATCACCTCTCTAATCTTTCAAAAAAGATCCATATGGACCCAAAAATGAATATATAGACATTTGACACTACAACGAAATCGGGTTTATAAGACACTCTCAAATTCTAAGTGTCATAATAGATCTCTTTAAATGACTTAGTTTATATGAACAAAAAAATAAAGTGTCATATCTAAAAGTGTTGTAATAAGTTTATATGACGTTTTTTGACGTAGTAATAAGTTTTTTAGGACACTTTTAATATAAAGTGTCTCATTATCAACTTTATAAGACACTATTTGAAAAATTGTCCTATAAAAATAAGTGTCCTGTAACAAATTTAGTTTATAGGACAATTTCTCAAAAATATCATATAAAGTTATTAATGCGACATTTTGTATTTAAAATGTCCTCTAAAACTTGTTAAGATGTCCAAAAGCGTCATATAAACTTATTACAACATCTTTAGATAGGACACTTTATGTTTTGGTCCAATAAATTAAGTCCTATAAAACGGTCTATTGGGACACTTAGAGATTATGGGTGTCCTATACACCCAATTTTGTTGTAGTGAATAAATTCAGTTTTATAGGATGTCACAGTATCTGTAGGTATCTTAATACACTTTTATAGTATGTCGTGTTATCTGTAGTATCTTAATAGACTGCTTAATAAGACTTAGGTCCTGTTTGTTTTTACCTAAAAAGCACTTAATACCCTCTTATGTCTGAATCGGTCAGACCTTAGGGTATTAAGTGTGTTTGTTTTTTTTTTCAATTAAGAGCTTAAAAGCTCTGATTATGTCTGAATTATTTAGAGGTAACTTTTTCACTTAAAACCTCTTAATTGCTTTTAAAGCTTCCAATGCTTGCAAAGAAAGCCTAGATTTCAATGATTCAGATTTCAGATTTCAGATTTCAGACGTAAAAACAAACAGTCTGACTGATTCAGATTTCAGATTTCAGACGTAAAAACAAACAGTCTGACTGATTCAGATTTCAGACTTCAGCACCACCTCTTAAAATTTAGAAGTGAATTTAGACTTCAGACTTAAGCACCTCTTAAAAAACAAACGCCACCTTAATATCATAGAACTAAATAAATATGTGTGTGTTATAATAAGTTGATAAAAAATAAAATGTCTTATTAGTCATCAAAGAATGTCTTCTGTAAGAACGTATATGGAACCCTGTTAAATTACTTTCAAATACGTTACAACATCCTACCATAACAGATTTATATAAGATGCACAATTGTTTGTTCCTATAAATTTATGTTTAGAAAGCAATCTATTATGACATTTAGACATTTTTGACGTCCTATAAAGCTAATTTTGTTGTAGTGTGATCAACTAAATACATGATATACATGTTAATTGTTCGGGCTATCTTTCAAATATGCAGTTGATTCCACGGATGATTTGGTTGGACCCTAAAGGGAAGCAATTGCTACAATGGCCGATTCAAGAACTAGAAACCCTAAGAAATCACAAGATGAAGTTAAGGAATGTGAAGCTAAATAAGGGAGATATCATAAAAGTAGAAGGAATTACCGGTGCTCAGGCCGACGTGGTGGTCCGCTTTACATTTGCGAGTTTGAGTAAGGCGGAGGAGTACAATCGGAACTGGGACGACAAGTTTCCGCCACAAGATCTCGCGAAAGACATATGTGGGATCAAGGGCGCCACTGTGCAAGGTGGACTAGGACCATTCGGGATTTTGACACTCGCCTCCAAGAATCTTGAAGAATACACTCCGGTTTTCTTTCGGGTTTTCAAGACTCGTGATCACGAGAGATACAAAGTTCTCATGTGCTCCGATGCTACTCTGTAAGTCGATTACTAACCAACACACGGGTAACTATTTTTAACGTTCTTCATTCAACCAATCTTACTCTTTTGGAGGCGTAAAAACAACCAACCAACAAGCGTAAGATAGGTTGAAAAAGAGCATAAAAAACTGGCACCATTCTAACATCCACAATGATGCTTATTTGAAATCTTATTGGCCACATAAGCTCAAGAATATTGAATTCCAGTTAAAAATTTCACTAACATTATTTGTTTTTTATTTAATTTCTTGGGGAAAACAGATCTTCGAACAACAAGGATGAATACAAGCCATCATTTGGAGGGTTTGTGGGTGTTAATTTAACCGATCATAGGAAGCTTCGGCTTCGGAGTTTGATCGATCATTCAGTCGTGGAAAGCTTTGGAGAAGGCGGAAAAACGGTGATCACGTCTAGGGTTTATCCGAAAATGGCAGTGGCTGGGGACGCACACTTATTCTTATTCAATAATGGTAGCGAGACTGTAACCGTTGAGAGATTAAAAGCTTGGTCCATGAAGGCGTCTGCTATGAACTGAAAAAAGCTTTGTAGTGATTACTCATAGAGTGATGAAATAAGTTAGAAGAAATGGTCTTTCCATCTTTTTATATCAGAAGAATGTAGTCTTGATGAAATTATTGATCGGTTGAAAGTTTTGGATAAAATCTACGGGACTTTTAGTATGATTTTACGTCGGTTTTAAGTTTGAAGGAAACATGATCCGTTAAAAAATATTATATTTCAAAGCATATTGACACTTGTATAACATTGGCTTGTAGCTTACTTATGTGTTACGTCACAATCAATGGTAAATTGGATCTCCCCCGTCATCTTTGCATGTTTTTATGCCCTTCCAAAGGTAAGCGTGAGTTAATTGTTTAAAAGACTTGATTAAAGTCATATTTTCCGTTTTAATGATTTAAGGCTTTATTCTTGGTTGTATGGGTATCGAATTTTGGTTGCATATAAATGAGTGTTCTAATTTATGGGGTTTCATCAAGAAAAATGGTGAATTTTGGAAGGATGTTTGCTTTTATAATAAGGACATGTCGTTGCGAAATTATTATTTAAATCAACAGTCTTTCAGTTTTACTGTTTTATGATTAAGAAGAAAACAGCTTAAACTCACTAAACGATAAGTCTAACCCTTTTTATTTGTCGGCATGTACATCAAGTCCTTGCTGGGGTTTGGTTCTCGCTTCACCATGACAATATGAGTGCTAGATAGATGCATGAGAAGATTTTAGCTTATTGTTGACGTCTTCCACAATTGGAGACAACAACAGTTATTGGGTTATAGTAACATCCGACTTTGACTTAGTATTTATGTAAGGCTTCATCTATCATTAGTTGATAATGATTTTAGATTTGTTATTTGAGGTAATTCAAGTAGATAGAAATTTACCCTTATTTGTTGTATTAATGAAAATTATAAATTAGTCGCTCTTTTAAGATTTGAGGGTGTTACCTTTTAGTGGTCGTTTTTGGAGCAAAATGGAAGGTTTAGTATGAGAATTAAAGATCGTTTGGTAGACAATTTCATATTCTTGATGAGGTAAGTTTTGGGTGTTTTGATCTCCCTTTTAGGGATCTTTGTGGATCTAAAACTTGTGCTTATATTTGGTTTATTTCTAGGCTTGGTTGTGACCTAGATAAGATTTCCAGAAATGTTTGCTTATGGATCTTAAGTCTTCATCCTTGGAAGCTAAAACGGGTTTGGAAAATATGAGTTCCAAGTTGCTTTGTGAAAACTATGTACATTCCAAAATGTCCATTTTAGATTCTTAAGATGTTTTCTTGATATTTATCGAATGTATTGATTATATGATGAGATTTGCATCTTTGGTACTTCAGATATTATAAATCTTGTGAATGCCCATATTTAGAGTTTTTGGACATTTTGATAAACAAATCATAAGAGTATGTTCTTTTAATGAGTTACCGTATGAATGATAATTATTTGATGATTAATGCACTTTTAGTGTATTTGAAAACCGTTTGCAAAATGCAAGTTATTGTGCTATGAGGCATTTTGAAGATATAAAATATATGGTTTCATTTGGAAAACGATTTGTCTCAACGAATGACGCTTTTTTGAGTCAATCGTACTTTTGGGGCAATGTTTGTATAGACGCGGGTTAAATGTGTTCATTACTTATGTTGATTTTTATTTGAGTGGTCAATTAAGTGTGGTGCTATTGGCTTGATTTTGGCCCATTGGAATTTTGGGGATATTTATTTGGTTTAAATTGCTCATTTTTGAGCTTGGGCATGAATATTAACCTTATTCGGAAATGATGGGAAATGTTTGTGGTTGTACTCGTATGGGTCATAAAAGAGATATGGTCTAGTAGTGGTACTTGTATGAGTCATATATGGGGTGATGATTTTATGGGTGAGGCTCATCTAGAGAACGAGTAGATTTCATGGTCACCTTAATGTTTGTGGTGGTACTAATTGTAGTCGTATATGGAGCTGGGCCTTGCGATGGTACTCAGTAGAGTGGTATACGTAGCCCATTGACCTTGAGTGAAACTCAGTAACATTGATGAGTGACATACTTTGTGATTCATCACGATCGATGGGAACGGGTCTCTTCCGTCGCTGAAAGGTGTTGTTTTGGATATTGAGTATTATCCATGTTTTTGATGACGTATTGAGTATGAAGTGTTATTCATGATTTATGATTTTGGTATGTTGGAACTTATCCATATTATGATGTTTTGGATGATAATGTTTTATCCATGTTTCAGTAATTGAATATTTAACTTTATCCATTTTTTTTTTTGTGAGTATTAGGTTTTGGTTTCATGTTAAATGGATGTTCGATTAGGTAGTGTTTAATACGCAGACTGGATGAGACAGAACGAGACGGTACGGGACATGACAGGACGGGACGAGACAGGACTAATTGTCTGTCCTATGTTTGGTACGACTAGGACAGGACAGGACAAAACTATTAAAATGACCATATTACCCCTAAATGTTGTTCAATGTTATTTTATATCATATAATGATTGTAAAATAACAACAAATCAATCAAAATATTGTCATTTTAACTTTAGTCTCATGTTGTTCCACCTTTTTTGACGGAACAAGAAATATCAAGATTTGTCCCACTAAACTTTGTGTACGGTTTGGATTATTATTTGCAGATGTTAAATTTTGGATTTACGTTATAGGTAATCAAGTTTTGAATTTTAGAAAGTGATTTATTCCTTATTTGATATTTATCGAAAAATTTAAATCAATCGTTCTTTCCATATTTGAGGGTGTTACAAGTTGGTATCAAAGCATAAGTTTGAGAGATTTAAGTATTTATTTAGTATTCCTAGACTCACACTAGGTTTTTTCTAAGTGAATGAAAATGAGAATACATGATTAGGCATTTTAAAATATGATATTTTGAGGTCAATCGAGACATCGACATCAAGAATCATGACGATGTAGCAAGGTTCCTCATTTAGGGTGTGTTTCATAGTGCACATGACCAGTGTTATTATGAATTTACAAGTACATGGATGTGTTTCAATCGTCTTTTCTATGATGATCGATGGGGTAGTAAATGTATTCTTTGCGAAGGATGGTTAGAAAAACTGATGTTTGTAGCAATGATTACGTTAATTCGACCATTGTGGGTCAAGGAGATAAGTTAAATTTGAACCATAAGTTTATTAAATCATCATTATTTTGGGAGAAACTGTAAGATTAATTGACTTGGTTGCTGATTATCACCTTAAGATATTTGAACGTTATGAATGTCAGTAGTGTGACTAATAGACTTGGTGAGCATGGTTCTAAGACTTCGGGTCTCAACTAAATGCAAGCACGATATTCATTTTTAAAATAAATTGCAAAAATTATTTCATGTTTCGTCAAATCATTCGTGCATGTCATGTTACGAGTTTAACTCATGTTGTTTTGCTAATGTTGCAAATCACTGAACACATATTGTTGGGCAACTTTAAATTTAAAAACCGACATGAATCATTCCATGTTTTACCCAAAATGCATATGTTTGATATGTTGCACATATTGATTTATAATTTGACGCAGAGAAGAGATTTGGGTCAAATTATGAATAAACGAGATCACTCAAATGCATATATTTGTATACAAAGTTTTATTGGAATTTTATTTCATGTTGTTTGAAGGGGTGTACAAAAAATTGTCAACCCGCGAAACTCGTCCAACCCAACCCACTAACAACCCAATTAAACCAAATCCGTCAAACCGTTAACCCACCAATTAAGAGGGTTTAAACTGGGTTGAACCTAGTTTAACCCACCCAACGCGCTGCTAATATATAATTTTTATAAAATTATATATATATATATATATATATATATTAATAATGTATAAATTTTATATAATTTTTATTGATATTATGTTTGTATTTTATTTCAGCTAAACGTATCGGTTACCAAAATAGATTCACAATCAAAGAATGATGACAAATAATCTAACTAATAAGAGAAATTTATTGATTTTATTTTCCAACAACAACAAATTGATATGTCGGAGAATATTAATGATTTTAATAGATATTTGGTTGACGAATCCATCAATCTAAATACCTCGTCATTTTATATTGTACTTTAGTGGAAAGAAAATGCTTAGTTATAACATTTCGCTACAACAACATTAGATCTTATAAGACGCCTAAAATGTCTAAGCGTCCTAATATGATATTTTATAGGACGAAACAAGAAAAATGTCTTATCTAAAAGAGTTACAATATGTTTATAGGATGATTTTTGGGCTTCTTAACAAATTCTAAAATGCTTTTAAAATAAAATATTTTATTATTTATTTTATACGATACGACTTAAGAAAAAGTGTCATGTGAACATAAGTGTCCTATAAATTGATGAGTTTATGAGACATTTCTCAAAATGTTTCTATAAAATAACTAATACGACATTTTATTTAAAAATCATTCTAAAACACTTGTTAAAACGTCCAAAAACGTCTAATGAACCTATCGTAACATTTTTAGATAAGACGGTTTATAATATAGTCTATAAACTTAAGTTTTATGAATTATTTCATTTGTCAAATTTATGTAATTACTAATCTGTAATCCAACCCATCTCCACTTACAAGGGTTGGGTTATACTTTTGAATGAGTTGAGTTTTTTTCAAACCGACATAATTAAATTAAGTTGTAAAAATATCGTAAACCGTCCGATTCAACCCGTAAACACGCCTGAAAATATATAATTTTATATTCTCGAAATGAAATCTGTCTTCTGAAATCGAAACAAACCTTTGAGATGAGATGTGACAGGTTGTAGAAAAAGAAAAGTCAAAAACGCCATCATCTCCAAGAAGTCGATCCCTCGTCTTCTTCCATTGTCGCACTACATGTCTGCAGATTCTCCTTCCGACGCCGTGTCGCGCCCCGTCGGCGGCACTGAGTACAGCTGGTGTAGAGCCGTTCCCGGCGGCACCGGCGTCAGTGTCTTAGCCCTACTCTTCTCCAAATCCCCCAATCTGTCCCACCTCCAAACATGCATCCACAAACTCCAAGACTCCCATCCTATACTCCGTTCCAAACTCCGATTCGATCCCTCCACCAACGCTTTCTCTTTCCTTACCCCTTCCACTCCCTCCGCCCTTCAAATCCGTACCTCCGATGTCTCCCAATCATTTTACCTCACGCTTGAGCACGAGATGAATACAAATCCCTGGAGCCATCACGAAGATCAGGTTACGGAAACCGACGTCATGTTTGCGAGTTTTTACAGTTTGCCGGATCAGAAGTGGTCGGTGATTTTGCAATTGCACACAGGGGTCTGTGACCGTGCTTCGGCAGCGTTTTTGTTACGCGAGTTGTTGGGGTTGCTTGGAGACGGAGGAGGTGGTGAAAGGGAAATAGTGAAAGAAAATGGCGTAGGCTTGGCGATTGAGGATTGTATACCTGCCGGAAAAGCCAATAAACCGTTTTGGGCTCGTGGGGTTGACATGCTTGGGTACTCTGTGAATTCTTTTAGGTTTTCAAATTTGGAATTTAAGGAAACTGGTAAGCCCACTTCGACTGAATTTGTGAGGTTGAACATCGGATTAGACGACACTGATCGGATTCTTTCTGTAAGTATTTGTGTTCTTATCAATTGCGTTTCTCATCATTCATATCATATCATCATGCTAGTTGTTAACATTCATAATCACTACACTCAAATGGGTATCTAGATTATGAATATATAGTTTCTGCTCAATATCAGCCAACTACAGTGGGCATCTGGATTGGATGATCAACGTACTAGCTGTTAACATTCATAATCACTAAACGCATATGGGTATCCAGGTTCTGAATTTGATTTCTTCTCAATATCAACTAACTAAAATGGGTATCTAGATTAGCTGATCAACATACTAGTTGTTAACATTCATAATCCCTAAACTCAAATGGATATCTAGGTTTCGAAATTAATTTCTCAATATCAACTAAACTAAAACGGGTTTCTAGATTGGATGATCAACGTACTAGTTGTTAACATTCATAATAACTATACTCAAATGGGTATCTAGATTTTGAATTTACTTTTTGTTCAATATCAGTCAACTAAAATGGGTATCTAGATTGGTTGAACTTACTAATTGTCAACATTCATAATCACTAATACCCAAATGCGTATCTAGATTTTGAATTTAGTTTCTTCTCAATATCAGCGAACTAAAATGGTCATTGAATGATAACGCCCAGTTAATAGAACTTCCAATGTAATGCAAGATATGCAAATATAGTTGATGATGTTAGTTCCCATTGGGCTCAGTCCAGTTTATCTAACCCAACAGATACTCATTTTGGTCCCTTTGAACTGGCTTAGACATGAAAGTAAGCACCGGAAAACCATAGATAAAGTTTAGGTAGCATTTGGTACGCAGACATGATTGGACAGGACTGGGTAGGACAAAACAGGACAAGAGGGTAGGATTGGACAAGACTGGACTGAACAAGAGTATGTCTGGTGTTTGGTACGACTAGGACTGGACGGGACATAACTAGACAAACTACCTCCAAGAGTTATTTGATGATTTTAAATGTTATATAATAGTTATAAGTTAACACAACTAAAGTAAATAATTAAAGAATTTAATTTATAAATATTTGTACACAATTTTCATATAAATGAATACATACATATATAATGGCACCAAATTTGAATGAAAAATTTGATATAATTGATGATAGTAGTGGTGGCAGTGGAGGTGGTTTTGGTTAGGGTGGAGGTGGTGGTGGCCGACGGTAGTACTGGCAATGGGCGATGGTTATGGAGGTAGAGGCAGTGGTGGTTGGTGGACAGCGGTGGTTATAGAGGACATGAAGATGTTGGATTGTGGTGGTTCTGGCGGTTGACAATGGTGGAGGTAGTTGTGGCTGATGTAGTGAAGATAGTTGTGGTGGTGGTTATGGTGGAGGTGAGGTGGCAATGAATGGTGGTGGCCGATGGTGTGGAGGAGGTTGTTGCAGTAGAGGAGGAGTTGGAGGTGGTCAACGGTGCTAGTGGTGGTGGCAATGGACGATGGTGGTTGTAGAGGTGGCAATGGACAGTGGTGGTAGGTGGTCGCCGGTGGTTGTGGAGGTCATGGAGGAGGTTGTTGCGGTATAGGAGGATTTCGAGGTGGCCAATGGTGGTGGTAATGTGTGGTGGTGGTCGATAGCCGATGGTGGTTGTAAAGGTGGCAATGGATGGTGGTGAAGGAGATTGTTGTAGTAGAGGAGTTGTTGGGGTGGCGAATGGCGGTAGTGGTGGTGGCAATGGATGGTGGTGGCAATGGATGGTGGTGGTCGATGGTCGACTATGGTAGAGGTGGCAATGGATTTGGTGGACGGTGGTTGTGGAGGCGGTGGAGGATGTTGATGTAGTGGACGAGGAGGTGTTGGTGGTGGTGGCTGTCGATGGTGGTGGCGGCAGCCGAAACTAGTGGTTATGACCATTAAAACAAATACCATATTAAAGTTTTACATCAAACTAGAGTAGATTAGTAATATTTTAGTTTCTATCTCATTCTTGTCCCATCTATTTTGGTGGAACAAGAAAAAGCCTCTTTTGTTCCATGCAGTCCCACCTTGTCTCAGTTCTTGTCCTTGTCCCATGTCGCGCAAAACATGGGATAGTGGGTTCTTGTTCTGTCCCATGCTGTGCCAAACATGAGATAGTGAGTTTTGTCATGTCCCATCCCGTCCCGTCCTGTCCCGTCCCATGTACCAAACGCAGCCTTATTGACCTTTCGTGCCATTGTGGGTGGTTTTTCATTACAAACCAATTATCGTTCTTGTACATTGCAGAAAGATACTATTGCTTGAAACAATGAGCTATTTTGGACAAGACATTTCAAGAATTGTGGTTACTATCTTTGAAAATCATTCATTTTTGCAATTCATAGTGTCTTTTGGCATGGTTTTCTAGAAAGATGGTTAGTTTGCACAAAATAGCCAACTATGACGGGTTAAAAACACATACAGTTTGACTTTTGAGGTCAAATGGACTATTTTCCATGTCCAATTTGATTGAATTTTATTACAAAGTTTGCCTCAACCCTTCTCATATTCATAGAGTTTGTCATATAGTTTAAGTTGTTTACAATTTCTTTAAGATCAATGAAGGATCAATATCAAACTTGACGCTTAAAAGTAGTCAGGCTGACCTCAAAGGTCAAAAGCATACCTCCTCTTATAGTACAGAGGGAGTAGCATCATTGAAACTATATTATACTATGAAAGAAGAGAAAATGGCTCAAACGATACAGAACAAAGACCGGCTCTGACTTGAGTACTTGTACATTCTTGCTCAGTCTGTTTTTACTGTGGTCTAGCTTTTTTATTTTATTTATCCATAGAAACAACCTGGGGGTGGAGGAGGCAAGCTTTGCATGCATCCTATCTCTGGCCCTACCTCAACATGCAGAGGCGGATCCAGAAAATTTTCCAAGTGGGACACGAAATAATTAACATAATGTTAATAAAACAAAATTTAATTATAAAAAGTATAGTTTAATTAAAATGACATACAAGTGGGATTTTGCAACACCCAAGTGGTTTTTTCATCTTCTTCCTGCTGTTGTTACCACAAAATTAAGAAAGAGCCAAAGAGATTCTAACTTGCAACCAGTAATGCCACGTGCAATGACACTACCACTAGGATGAATCCACTTTTTGTTAACTTGGGAGATCACAAGCGGGTGCACCGATGCACCTTTAAGAGCCCTAAAATTTTTCCATTCTAACACGCCTTGGCTATTACTGTGTCCGCTCCTGTCTGTGGGGATTTACTGATTTGGTTTTTGGCCTTTGTTACTTTCTGTATGCATCAATATACATTGGTAGTAGACATATGTTTTCTCTGGTGAGTTTGGATTATTTTCTGCCCCAAGGGCCTGTTTTGAAGTCCCCATTAGTGTTCACTGCTCTTTTTTTATCGTGATTAATTTCTAGTATTTGTGTTCAGGGCTGCAGATCGAGAGGGATCAAACTATCTGCGCTGTTAGCAGCTGCTGGATTTATTGCTACCTATGCTTCTAAAAATCTTCCTGATGATAAATGGGAGAAATATTCACTTGCAACACTTATTGATTGTCGTCCACTTCTTGATCCAGTTCTTAGTGATCATCATATTGGTACGACTAATTTTCATGCCCTTTGCACACATATCATATTGGGCGTGTGTGTATATGTGTAGTTGGGATCATTTGAGAACAATCTCTTTTCATTCAAAGGTGAGAACACTTACGAGCCTTTAGACGAGTTGACTGTGTGATCTAACAACTAAAAAAGGGCAGGCCTTCAACTACCTTCATATTGTGTGTAAGAACCGGGAATCTCTACATAATTTGTATCTTATAGCATGCCTAGTGCGGTATACCGAGATTCCCTAAAAGCAATATGTCTGACTTTTGTATCAGAACTGTTGTAACTGAGTCAAGTCTTGATCATAGAAACCAAACCAAACACATCCACTATGTCAATCATAAGTAGGGTTTGKGGGTGGGACATACACAGACCTGACCTCTACCCAAAAAGTATAGAAGCTGCTTCCATGAAGACCCCCCCCCCCCCTCTTAGGGAAATATGTTTTCTCAAAAGAATTTGAGAGAAAGTTGTGCATCAAAAAAGTTCATAATACCAGAAAACAGTAAAACATATACCAGAAGACGGAAGTATAGAAAGCATAGGAACAAATATGAAGGATATTACAAATAAAGGACTTTTGGTTCGGGGTCATTTGGTTGAATGACCTTCTGACGAGCTTGAAAATGTCACTGCTTAACAGAAGAATGTCCCTTGCAAACACACTAAGAATGCCTAAAAACATGTCAAAAGATCATGGAAGAATAAAACACTTTCAGTAGGAATAACCCATTTGGATGTGACCTTCACTAGCATGCAATTGATGGCAGAAATTGCTTGACTGATGCAGGATTTTATCATTCGGCCGTCGTAAACTCACACGATGTGAAGGGAAAGGAAGATTTGTGGGATCTAGCACAACGAGTCCACACGTCCTTGGAAACCGCAAAGAACAATGGTAAGCATTTCACAGACATGGCCGACTTGAACTTCCTCATGTTGAAAGCCATCGACAACCCTGGTTTGACTCAATCTTCTTCGTTGAGAACTTCACTCATTTCTGTATTTGAAGATGCCATATCTCAAAACACCGAACAATTTCACAAGGATGTTGGTTTATTGGACTGCATCGGTTGTGCTTCCGTTCATGGCGTGAGTCCTTCACTCGCCATGTTTGATGTAATCCATGATGGCGAGCTTGATTGCGTTTGCGTCTATCCATCCCCGACTCATTCAAGGGAACAAATGCAAGATTTTGTGGATCATATGAAGAAAATTCTTCTAGGATCTGCTGATACTCCTCAATGAAAATTGTTGTGATCCTCACTTTCTGTACTGTTATGGATCCAGGTTTTGCAGATCGATCGTGTAGCTTCGTTGGTTGTTAATTTTCATTTCTGAGTGATAGGATATTGAATAACTTGAGTTTCCGATTTTCATTGATAAGAAATTTCATGACGTATGAGATGTAATTGCAACTTGCGTCTATTGAATTGGTTCTTGTTTGTAAGCATTGTATTCAAGACCCCGATCATATGAAGCCTCGGTTTGAATGTATTCAAGTGTTTGGTCTTATTTTTACTAATTGTATGTGCTGGCCTAGCACTCTAGCAGTATCTGGGTTACTGGTACAACCTTGTAAAATTGTTTAGAGTTTCTGACATATGAGGTCTTCAAATTCATAATTGATTGAAGTTCTCAACGAAGAAGATTGGGTCAAACCAGGGTTGTCGATGGCTATGCACACGAGGAACTTTTAAGTCGGCCATGTATGTGAAATGCTTATCGTTGTTCTTTGTGTTTTCTAATGACATGTAGACTCGTTGTTCTAGATCACACAAATCTTCCCTTCCCTTCAAGCCGTGTGAGTTTATGACGACAGAATGGTAAAATCCTGCATCAGTCGAGCAGTTTCAACCATCACAAATACACACTAGTGAATGCTAATTATGCAATTGACGAATTCCATCCTCCAAGTTTATGATCGAAGTCATTCAGATTCAACATCATCTTTTTTGGGCACAAGATTCAACTAGAATCGTTTTGACGCTAAGACATTGTATTCTAATTCTACAAAATCCCATGAAATACCAACCACCCACATGAGATTGTAAAATCCTATGTTTGTGGGATTTACATTTCTTTGCATTTCAAGTTAAAAAATCCAGATCAACAATATTAGTCCGTTAATGTTTATATCAAAGTCCCTTGAATATTTAAGATACCTCGTTATAAAACCGGAAATTATATTTGAAATTTAAAGGATCTAAATGGAACTTTTTATATTGGATTAATCATAGGGGTTTTTTAATTGGGTTTCTATTAAGTCATATATGAATAAAATTGTCTATGTGAATCAATCTGTCTCTACATATAAGAAATTTTTTTGTTTGCAAGAGTTTTAATAGATGAAAGGAGGTGTTCTTTTAATTGGGAAGGGGCTTTCTGTATAAAAATCCTATCTAGAAAAGTTGGTTTATTTGTTTACCTCTTAATAGTTCCATTAAGAGGCAATATCTGAATCGTTAATAGGTGAATCTTGCTTAACAAATAAAAAAGTCTGCCTCTCAATGGTTCTAAAACCCTCTGAATGATTTTGTATCCTAAATCTTCATTAACCATTCAGCGTCCTAATTTCATTTTAAATAATTACCAAACAATTATATTTCATTTTGCACTATATCATGAGAATCACTTAATTATTTTGACCACTTAATCATTTTACCTCAAACTAACTTTCAAACAACCCGTTATTGGACAAGTTATTTTTCATATAGTTAAGGGGTGTTTGGGATTGCTTATTTAAGGTTTTTTTGATTTATTTCAATATGATACCGATAATAAGCTATTTTTAGTATTTAAATTAAAGGAAAAAAAAACTACTTATACCCGTGACAAACCACAGTTATTGAGTTCTAATAACAATTTTGGTTAGGTTTCCGTTATTTAAGTAGAAAAGCCAGCCGTGAGGTTAGGGTTTATGCGCGCGATAAACCTAACAAATTTTCATTTCACTTCTGTCATCAGCTTCTCTTCCTCTGTTTCTCTCTAGGGTTTCACAATGAGCAGATCAGGCCAACCCCCAGATCTCAAGAAGTAAGCTCTTCTCTTCTCTTTGGAGTTTCTGTATTTGATTTTTCTTTTTTAACAGCTTCGTATCAAGTTTCTTAATGCCTTCTGTTCATCTGATTGAACTCCTTATTTTTTTTTTACCTTTTCCCCAATTGGAATACAGGTACATGGACAAGCAACTACAGAGTAAGTTCTCGTTTCGCAATGTGTTCATTATTCATTTTTGTTTGAAGTATATAATATTTATATAGGGCAAAACTAACACGCATTTCGAACCCATAACCACAAGAAGGTCGGGTTACCGGATAGGGCAGCGCCAATGCCCCTTTGGTATTATTGTTTTTCGTTCTGGCGCCTTATCAATTGAGAAATTAATCGACCAAAGGTTCATTGTTACGGACTTAGTAAATTAGGGCCAGAAATTATTTCAGTTGTTATAATTGTACCTGATTAATGTATTCTATAACTCACGCGGACGAAATTTCTCTTGTTAATATTGGGTTGTTTACCGTTGGTTGATTATCTTTATTGTCTTCATGCTATGAGATTATTGGGTTTTTTGTGGATCATTAAGTTTTTTCGTCGAAGTATGTTGTAGATTAGATATACAGTTTTGTGGGTTTAAGGTATTTCTTAACATGTATTATCCCTAGAAGCAGTAATACATGCACCATCATGATTTATTGAGCACATATAATGGTGCACATAAAATTTTAGAAAGCTGTATATACTAGATAATGGGGGATGAAATGGTATGTTCTCCTAGAGCAAGGCCTACATTGAGAAGGACTATGTAATGGCTGTTGGTCAATATCGTTGTTGCTGGAACTGATGAGGCATTCAAGCTGCCGAAGCAATGGTTATAGGAAAAAAGGAGTAGAAAATCGTAGATACTTCAGAGCACTGACTACTTAATGTAGTGTGGGCGGTAGAAATGCATTTATTGGTTGTGTCATGCTATGCTGTAAATTGCAACGCTGTAGTGGTGCAATAGCGGATTGCAGACTACGGTCAAATTGCGGTGAGAATTGCGTTTTCCGATATTAGCGGCACAATTGACTGCTATTTGCGCGATATTTAAGGTGAAATTGTGCGGACCGATGTTCCGATATTTTAGCTTGTGCCTCCTTAGAACTATGTTGACTCTGATGCTGAATCTATTGCTTGGGGTTAGCTCGTTTATGAACACTTTTCCTATTTTGTTTTGTGAAACTTGTTTAAGTTGATGTTTTGATGTTGAAACTATATTTTTAATTAATGCATATAATATGTTTATGTATGCATACATTATACATATATATTATATATATAATTCTAAGAAATACTATATGAACTGCTATTTTTGGACCGCTATACCACCCGCTGTAACTGCTGTTTCAAATATCGTCCTGACCGCAAATTTGTATTTTCACCGCTATAACAGCATAGTGTCATGTGTGTATAATTAGAGGAAATAATTTCATATTCATAAACTACTTATAACAGCCAAGTCTTGGTAACAATGGGAATCAAAGATCAACATCTTGTGCTTTCATTCATATTAATTGGTTAATCCCTCAAGAAAAAGATTCTGTGAACTTCATGTTATGAGATGGGTTGTTTGCACTATAAGTTTTTTGCTTCGAGAGGGTTGGGGGATGGATGATGGGGCTGGGAGAGAGAAATTTTCTCACTTGAATTTGTAATCACTAACAAATGTAAGTATGCTGTAGAAGATGTAGAACATTATGCAACACTCCGTAACTAGAGGTGTGCTTCCTGCTTTAATGTTATTTTTGAAGTGTGTGCCCACACTTTGAATTAAAGCCGTTCTTACATTTGCCAGGCGTCAAATGTGTTGAATCTGTAAGGGACAGGGAAAGCTAAATTCCTAAATGGCACTGGAGTTGATTGTATTACAAATTGAGTGGTGTAGTTTTTTTTTTAATTTTAACGATATTAAAGTGACTGGATATCAAGCAGAGAAGACCAAATGCTAGCTTTAATAGTTATCTACTCAAGCCTCTAAAAGAAAGGTCACGCTGACTATGCCTTAGACATGAAATATCTTGGTGGAACGATTTCAACAAATGGAGCTAACATCTTGCAGGATTATGTAATGCTTTGAATTTGAATCGTACATGTAAGTTATATTAAGAATATTGTAGAGGTTTAGAGAGGTGAGTCGTGAGACATGTTTCAAGATGAGAAAGAAGAGAGATAGATGATCAGTGACATAATTAAAGAGTTGATGGCTGTGTCAATGGCAGTCTATGGTGCATTTGAGTCAGACCTACATTAATTTCTGTCTGAGACAAGATAGAATTTTGTTACTTCAGATCATTCATCATTGCTGAATTTCCGGAGATTACCAAGTACAATGTGGGGAAAGGAAAATCATATAGTTGAGCATTTTCAGAAAGGTAAGCGCGACTGTTGTGTTTTGGACGATGTCCCCATGGCACTACGGTATAGGCTTAATGATTTGACTTGGGACAAAAGTTTTCAAAGGCTGGGTTGTTTACCTATGACCTATGTAAAACAATCATGAGGTAGACTTCATGCTCTATTTCTTCATATGCTTGTATGGGTGATTTATTATGATATAAAAAAGAAACGTCTTGGTTGGGAGTAGGTAAGGAGGTTATGTACTTCCTCACTTGTGATGAAATGGTTGCTGGGAGACTAGTACATAAGAGGGATACTTGGAAAGTTGGAATGGATATCTGAGATTGTATATGTATAGGTGCTTTATGCAAATTCCAACTAATCTAAGCAAAGATGACCATCCCATTGTTCAAGTCACTTGGTGGAGACTACATGAATTGCATTCCTCCTGCCTTTCATTTCTTCGAGTAACTTCCGTTCTGTTAAAAGTATTCACAATAGATCTGCCATTATTGCTATTCTAACATCATTATTTTTGTCCCAGTGCAATTAAACCTTCCTTTAGGGATCCTCTATATTTGTCATATCTATTCTTATGTGACTCCCATTAAACTCGGTCTGCATTTCCACCAAGCCATCTTTTATTGTTGTTTTCCTTTGATAGTCTCACAGACACCATTCTTCACCAGCCCTCTCCTGCTCATCTTTTTCTTAGTCCCCTGACAGAAGTGTTTACATCTGCATACTTCTTCTGATTGTATGTTGTTGCTTACTTCTAGCTTACTTTTCAAAATTCAGCGTATAAGCCTTTCTTGTTGCTAGTGCTTCTTTTTGCAAGTCTTCTTTCTTCCTATTTCTAAAAACTTTTAGGGCTAACTGTCTTCTTTTTGCACTTCTGTTGCACACTTTTCACAAGTCGGGGGTCTTCAGGGAAACACCCGCTCTAAATTTTAGGAGAGAGATCAAGTCTGCGTACATCCCACCCCCATACCCCACTGTGTGGTGGGATATACTAGGGTTGTTCCATTTGATTTGGTGTAGCGTCCGACATTAAGCATAAATGATGTATACCAACTAAGCCCCTCTTATCCAATCGAAGGAAAACAGTTCAACATGACTATACCATTGTGGGTTTGTTATTGTTGTGTGATCCCCCTCCCCCCTGCTGTGTTTTGTTTTAATTTTACCTACAAAAGCGATATGTGACTGATGCAAGAATAACATTTTTAACATTGTATTGCAGTCAAGCTGAATGCCAATCGGACAGTCGTTGGAACACTTCGTGGCTTCGACCAGTTCATGAACCTCGTAATCGACAACACAGTGGAAGTGAATGGTGAAGAGAAAAATGATATAGGCATGGTGGTAAGCATCTCCTTAACAATACTAGAATTTTGATCAGACTATTAAATCCACCTTCATTTCTTTCCCACAAGTCGGGCTTCTTCACAGAAACAGCCATTCTACTTTGAGCAAAGTAGAGGACTGGTCTGCCTACATTCCACCCTGACCCTACTTTTGAGTGAGATATACTTGGGTTTGTTAGATCAGCCTTCACGAATGGAAGAAAATTCTCTTTCTTTGTTTCCACAGGTCATAAGAGGGAATAGCGTAGTCACTGTTGAAGCACTCGAGCCAGTCAGCAGAGGACAGTGAGTCAAGACCCATATCAGTATGGTCTCTCAACGATTGTGTAATTGCTTTTTTCCCCCTGAAACAGTTGTAGTAGGATCTGAGACGATAAATTAACTTAAAAGTTTATCTGCACCTAGTTGACAAATCTTCAACCGCATCTTTCATGCAAATAATCTGTGTATCGACTGCAGTCTAACTTTGACTTTTTAAGTGAGTTCTTGATAATTTCATCTCGACCGTTTTTTAACATAATTCGATTAGAATGGTTCTTCCATGAAACATACCTCACGAGTTGCTCATAAATAAGTGAAAACAACCAAAGGGTCAATGGCCCGTACCGCGGTTGTCAGTAGTGCCTAACCTTCCTGAAGGCTGAGGTGTTTAAATTTCAACAAAGGTGAGGAATAGTGCCTAACCTTCCTGAAGGCTGAAGGTCAAAGGTTCAAATTTCACCAAAGGTGAAGAGTGTGAATATTTTCTGTATATAAATATTATATATTTTAAAAAAATCATTTTCTTGTTATATTTAAGTTTCTATATTCTTGGAATTAATTGCTTAAACAGCCTCCAATAAGCTCAATGAAGTAAAATTGGACCATTTCTGCAATTTTTTTTAGTAAGTGGGGGTCTTAAAAGGAAACATATGTACTTTATGAGGTAGATGAAAGCTTTTCGAGATTTATTGGATCCGTTTGATTTTTTTTCGTGTATTTTGTTACACATATTTACACTTGTGTAACCCTTTGTGACCGCAACCTGTATTTACTTCGATCCTGATTGATGACAAAAGGGTGATTAATGATTTATCTTGAATTTATTTTTAAATAATTAAAGGCAATTAAGGGTAAATTAGGAATAAATAATACATGGAATCTCAATATTTTAATTAATTAATATATTTGAGACATTCAGTGGGAAATTTTCTCCATGATCATCAACTTTCCATACAAATTGCTTACTGTTAAGCAAAGAAATAGGAAAAGATAATTCAGACGATGACAACTAATCCTTATGCAACATATATCACTAGTGCATTTGATTTCTGAATCTGATTAAAAACCGAGAATATGAAGCATTTGATTACTGAATATGGTTTCGTCATTGTTAATCTGATTTCATGGACCTGATGGATTTCTGAATATGGTTTCATATACCTAATGCACCATATCTCATTGCTGGACCTGCTAAAACATTTGATTATTGAATATAGTTCCATCATTGTGAAAAACCAGTGAATATGATGTATTTGATTGCTTAATATGGTTTCATCGTTGTCCATTGTTCTTGCATACATAGGAAATGATGAATGAAAAAACCGAAAAAACATAAAATGGTTGTGCTGAAGGAAAAGGTATTCATCCAATCACTGCCAAAACAGTTGCAACTAAAATAAACAAAATAAAATCCCTATTGATGAAATATTATGATAGCACCTTCATTTTGCACTATGACGGAACATGAAATGGTAGCATGGACCATCGTATGTTGTCTCGTTTTTTTTTTTTGGAGGAAGGGTCATGGATTGAAGCCATCTCGAAATTTTGTCATAATTTTAGTTTTAAGCAATATAAGGGCACACAATGAAATATTACGATGACACCTTCTTTTTGCACTCTGATGAAACCATGAAACGGTTGCATGGACCATCGTATGCTGTTTGCCCATGCATTAATCTCACATGCATGATTTGATTTTGATTTTGTTACATTTAGGGGTTTTGAAACGACACCAAAGATGTGCTGGAGTTCAGCTTAGCCGAGTCGAAACTTGATACGCGTAAAAATTTGGACTTCAAGTCATTTTGTTGAACTAAAATAGAATCAATAACTAGAGTCGGTTTTCCATACCATTGTCCTTCTCAAAGTCGAGTCTTCAAATGTAGTCGTTAGATCAAAGGCTCCAATACCGTTAGATCAAAGTCCATTTGTTAATGAAGTCGTTAATTGTTAAAGTCATGTTTGATAATCATAAGTTAACTTATTCTTTAAGTTTGTTAAAAAATCAGTATTGTTTACCATAAATTAGTTGATAAACTATCTTACTAAAACTGTATTTAAAGTAACATTTTAATGAATTTTAAGTGTTATTTCCCAATTTGTTGAATTATGCAATTAGTAATTTAGCTAATTGATAAAAAATTGTATCCTCTAGCAAATCAGGTAACTTCCATTCTTTTCTGTTGACTTATCATTATTCCAATATTATATAGTATTATTTTTATTAAAATAAAAATTCTAATATATTTTATTAAATAATTTCTATTAAATTATTGATAATATGTTATATAATGAAAACTTACTAAAATATTAATAAGTATATACATATATTGAAAATTAATCAATATATTATCTATACAATATTATAAAACATTTGACAAAAACTTTTAAAAATCGTTTTTTATGCATGAAGTATTGTTTATTGATGCATATTACTTAAAATTCAAGATTACAAGTAAATTGTGCGTAAGTATAACTTATTAAAGCTCTATGTTTGAATTCGTGTAACTAACTGCGGATAAACATCTCATTTTAAAATATAAAAATTATAAAATATAATGAGGATAATTATGAGGTTCTAACAAAATAATTAATTATTATCTTTATAAAAAAATTATATTATTAAATTAAATATGAATTACTTCGTTAGTGAACCTAAATTAAATTATATTTAAAAAAATTGAATTAAAAAATTACACAAAAAATGAGAAATTTTAAATAGTTAATTTGATACTAATATCGATATATTTTTGTTAAATTTTTATGATATCTTCAAATTTATATTTTATTCAAAAATAAAATCATTGTCGCATTTTCAAAATCACATAAGACCATATTATAACACGACTGAGATAAAAATATAAAACAAAATATTAAAATCAAAATGTATCTTGCTGTACTGTACGAGCACCATTCTAGTACTATTTAATATTCTTTTATAATTTACTTTATTTTTTAATTATAAATACGATAGAGTAGTTTAATAATATTTATTTTCTATCTCAAAATATGCAATCTCACACGATAAGCCAAATTTGTAACAAGTAGTTTGTTTCGTTGGACAATTAGTCACATTTTATTCATGAAATGGCAGGTATAGATTAAAATCCCATTATTATTCATTTATTTATTTAATGTCTGATATCATAAGATGTAAAACGCTAAATGCATTTAAGGGAAGCCAACTAAAAGGCTGTTTACCTAAATGCTTATCCGGTAAGTGTTTATCATTAGGAGTCAACACTGTAATTTATTTTACCAGATAAAATTGTAGTACATCAAAATGGTATCGTATGCGACAATTTACCCGGTAAGCGCTTCCCCGGGCAAGAGTCCTCATCCTCACTTACCAAGTAAGACTTTTCATCTTTATCATTGCTCTTATTGGGTAAGATTTTTGACCCTTGTCATGTTCATGCGGTAAGGAAAACTGTACGCTAAGCACTTACATGGTAAGTGTTTAGTAAACGGCCCCTAACTTTGAGTTTGAGTGGGAAAGACATCCAGAAGGTTTGCCTAGAAGCAACCACCTTTTAAGGGTTTACGCCTTTTTAATGAATCAATGAGTTCCCAATTTTTTTATTATTGAAATTTGGAAACCAATAATAAAAAGAAACATAAATCAAATTCTCTTTTTGATAATTTCCTGTTTTTACGATTTTCTCTAGTGGTACGACAATACCATCAGATGGTGGTTCATGAGGTCATAACGACACATATATGACAACATCATGTGATAGTTAATGACAACACTTGTTTTAAGACGATACAAGTGAAATATAGCATATGATATTACCTAAAATTATTCGTTATTTTGAACAAAAAAAAATTTGTAAGTGACAAAATGTATATAAAATAAAAAGTATTTGGTAATTATAATATTTTTTACTTACAATTATTCTCACACGTATCACAATCTTTCCAACAGACACTATTAATTAGACAACAATAACATTTTTCTCCTTGCCTACAACGATGATGATAAAAACAATGTCCAATATCGATATTTTCACTTGTAACCCTTTCATTCGATCTCAACTCCCCCTTCCCCCCGACAACATTGTTTGGCGTGCCTGCATCACAACAATAAAACCAAAAACTTAGTTAGAAAATCACACACACACATATATATATATATATATATATATATAGAGAGAGAGAGAGAGAGAGAGAGAGCGAGATCGAGAGAGAGAGAGGGAGAGGGGTTATAATAGAAAACAAGAACGCATATACAACATGTGATTTTATACTAAAACTCACATGTGTTAAGGATCAGTCAGACCTTAGAAGTTGTCAGCCAAGCGTATTCATGCGTGCCTCTAGGTCAAAAGTTCATCAATCACATGTGATATAGGAGTTCTTTATAGGGTTATCTTATTTTGAACATTTTCTCATTTGAATCAACTATATATACATACATACATGCATAGAGGAGCGATCAATTGAAAACCACTCCAATTTGTAAAAACCGTGCAAACCACCCTCATCCGTCGATTTCATTGTTTAATTTTATGAAAAAAATTTCATGAAATTGTTTAATCTTGTAAAATTGTTTCATATAATACTTTTTTTTTTGATGAAGTTGTTTCATATATGATTATGAAATTGTTTCATATACTACTTAATGAAATTTTAATGAAACTGTTTCATGTATTTCTCTAAAATTAAAATAATGAAGATGATAATATCCATGATTAACGCCTTCCACAATAAAA